AAGTCTCCTAAGTTGTCTTCTCCATGGGAAGGCCCATATGACATAACCTGTTGGCATGCACCACTTTTGGTTTACCTCGCCGACCACATTTTACCCAGAAAGTCACGTCTGAGAGACGATCCAATTTGGCGTTATGATGGTCCCTGACATTTTAGTTGGGACGAAGTGGACAACAGAACAAATGACACTGCTGAAGACGTGCCACCTGAAGAAGCCACCATCGAAGAAGAAACTCTACTCAGTTTTGAAAAGGGAAACGATGAAGCTCTTGATGAAGTTACTACCACGATGTGACTGTTATCGACGATAGAACATTTCCTGATGAAGCAGATGAGCCCCACGTGAAGCAGAAGCCAACGAGACGAGACCAGTATGGAAGAAGATACGTACCGTAAAATTAAGAGACTTTGTTGAATTGTAATTTTGTGTTTGTAATTCTGTACATTTAATTAAGTTATTGTTAATTGTTATTGGTTTAATGTAAGTGGATGGTTAAGAACTCGTTATTACATAAAGTGTATTTATGGTTAAATTAAAATTAACAATTTTGCTTTTTTCAGATCGGAGAAAAAAAAAGTGAACATTAGACGAAATGTCTTTGTAAGTTGTTGTTATTTTTTAATTTAGCTACTGGATAAATCTCTAGAGGTTACGGTTTGGGATGAGAGTCCAGCTGGAAATAAAACACTTCTCGGTGGAACAGAAATACAGTTCCGAAAAACTGACCTCCAAGATTGTCCGGAGTGGTATCCCTTAACGAGTTACCAGCCCCCTCTTCCATCACCGTCGCTAATTCAGAAGACTCAACATGGCGGCGTATCTGGTCATGACGTAATACCACATAAGGCCATAAATCAAGCCCGTCAAGGAAGCTTACATACGTTCTCAGGTAAGCTAAAGTACACGTGAGAGCTGAACATGGTAATTCTATCAGGATCAGAGTATGTGACTCACAGAAGGTGTGGAATTTACCATTACCTTAAAATTATCAATGTTCCGTATCTGCTTGTTTGATAATTTTCGGTTGAAATTCTTTACGAGGAACTTCAGCGATACAAGTCCTTTCTTGATTAAACCAGTTTATTCTTCCTCGATACAAACTTTTAATACACAGTAATTCCACAATCAGTACGTTTCTCCTCACTTTAAACTTAACTACTTTTATAACATACTCTATAAATCACAGCGATTCACAATCTCGAAAACACACATTAGCTCGAAACAGAATCGTAAATTACCGGGAACTCTCTGGCTTCCACTGCCAGGCTTATATACTAAAGAAGGGGCGTCCCGAACGCACTTGGGCCTCCTCGATCATTCATTATCATTCGAGAAATTCATCACGTGTCACCATCATCACGTGACTTCCACTGTCGTAACATTAACATCTATAAACTTGCCCTTTAGATGTAGACCTTGGACGCTAATGCCTCATTTTTTCCTGAAATTATAAATGACATTCGTTTAAACTATCTTCTGATGTTTTGTTTTTATTACATTATAAAACCTAGCCAAGGCAAGTGTACAACGTATATTTCTTGTTATGATTCAAAAGTTTTCAGTTAATGCACTCATGTCACTCGATGAATTAAGTTTTAATTTTTTGGGGGTTATCTTTGTAAACAACTGAAAATTTACTGTTTGGTTTTGGACCTATCACTTGGAAGTGATTAAAATAACTTTTAACTTTATAGAAAACAAAGAAGATCAATCCAAAGACGAGAAGAAAGATGGAATTCTAAAAAGTTCATCAATGGATTTTACCTGTAAGTACAATTAATTTTAGGTTTGAGTTTTTAGTAGAAATATCCACAAAAAATCATGCCCTGGTGACTCAAAGATATGTTTGAGGTCTTGTAACGCTTAAATCCGAGTTTCGATCCCTACTTTGGATGCATCACCGGATAGCCACTTTGTGTTTAAACAAAAATAAAGAAGAAAATAGTATTTTAATTAATACGAGAAAATCGCTAAACATTTATTTTTTATTTCATTCATTACGTTTTAATTTCAATTACTTTAAACACTGCAATAATAACATTTTATTATTAAGCAAGCACTCTATGTTTACTGTTCTGGAAATTACAATTCAAGATAAAAATGAACTAATTTCCGTTTACAATTTAGAATCGAGGCCAACTGATTTGAGGAAGAAGATATAATATTAAAATATGAGGTGTTACGAGATAGGTTAAGCATTTCGGGTAAACTATCATTGGTGATAAATACTGAAAAAATATTAAAAAATTATGTCGAGAAAAATGTAATGCAATAAAATTTTGAATTAGTGTACATATATTTATACCAGATTTTGAAATCAATATTAATATTCAATAATATCGGAGGCATTATTAATTAAAATATGTGTGACTTAGGAAATAAATAATAATAGAGTATAATAAAACTATATCTTATTGTTACGTCTCCGTTCGTTAGTTAATTTTCCGTAAATTCGTTCCGACGAAACTTTAGTGACACAAGTCCTTTCTTAAATAAAACTGGTTTATTCTTTCTGAATATAACTTTGCGATATACTTAATTTCAACAGTCGCGCTATAATAAACGTCTCACGTGCTCGAGTTCAATTACACACTCTCTGACTGCAGTTCAATTACTCATTACTTCGTCACGTTGTGACCATCTTATATATACCAGGCTACCCCCAATCTAGTAGTTTCCCGATAATTCACAAAGGTTCGAGAGAAGGACGTGGCGTGATACTAGTCACGTGACCTCGCTGACGCAACACTGCTCCCTCCTTAGTATTGTTCGTCCCGAACAATAGAAATAAAGTGTATTTTTAAATAAAGTGTATTTATGGTTAAAAACTTGTCATTTGACGAGTTCTTAACCATAAATACACTTTATTTAATGACGAGTTTTTAACCATAAATACACTTTATTTAATGACGAGTTCTTAACCATAAATACACTTTATTTAATGACGAGTTTTTAACCATAAAATACACTTTATTT